CAGGATGACTGTGGAATATCAGAAAAGAGAATGGGGGAAAAATGTACGCGGTATGATCGATCTTTTCAAAACATGTTGTGTTCAAAATCCAGGTCTAATGTAAACACATACACAAAAATCACAACACTTTTTCTTTTTTCTACTGCATGTTAGACCTTGGACCACAAACACCTGTCATAAGTGTCTGATTTATAAAATTGAGAGTTATAAATCATCTTAAAGCTGCATAAATAAGCTTTTCATTGATGTTTGGCTTGTTAGAAGAGGACAGTATTTGGATGTGATAACATTTTTTCTTCATGAAACATGATCTTTACTTAATATTCTAATGAATTTGGCATAAAGGATGTCAAAAAAGACTGATTTAGTGTATTTTTGTGCAACATAAGTCTGGTTTTGTGGTCCATGGTCACATATTTGTTCCCAAGTTACACAGAAATCCTTCTTATAGAAGGATGCCAGCCTTAAGCCATCCGAAATATATCCATGTAACATTTCTGTGGCCCTGCGTTGCTCACAAGACATTGATTAAACAAATCTATGCACAAGATTAATCACAAACGGTCGTCCTTTTTTAGGATTCACACCTGCACCCCGACTAAAACCCGCGACCCCCAACCCCTCACTCGCCTTATAACAGATGTGGATGACTGCCCCTCTCTCCAAACTTTGCCTCCACCCCCTCTGCCCCACCCCAGAGCCTGGTGCTACCATTCAAACCCCCTTACAACAGGAAACTGCCTTAGACAGAAGGAAAGAAAATGCAGGAGGTGAGGGGGGGTGCATTGGAGAAGGAGATTTGGCTGTTTAACACAAAGAAGACTGGAATGCAAGGAGTTAATCCGTTTGAGGGTTCTTCCGCAAACAAAGGATAGGCCTCCAGACAAAGGTTGGTGGGGGTACGCACCGGGGGGAGGGGTTGGCTTTCCCTTACCATCTGGCCCTTTTGTTTGGGGGAGGGGGTCGGTGAAGAGGGCGGTACTCTGTGGCCCCTCCGAGTCCTGAAAAACCCTGACACGTCCCCCCGCTTCTACGTGCTATTGCTCCAGACAGACGGCCCTCCAATAGTGTCAACACTATACAGGGACCCTCCAGAACCTATTAGACTCCCAATAATCTCACAGAGGGGAGCCAGTAATCCAAGATGGAGAATAAGATGAGTGTGATACATGAACACAAGACTGTGATCGGCACACACTGATCTTCATTTTGAAGTGGTGAAGTCCAGACAAACTTGGGGTTCTCAAGTAACGATAGATGTCATATTTTATTTGGTTATTGACAGATTGAAACAGTCTAGTGAATTGATTCTTCTGTTGGGTATCGTTGGCTTGACAGTTAAAAGATAAAAGATTTACAATACAGTATGTCTTTCTAAAAAAAAATCACCAGAGGATAAAAAAAACTCTAGCAAACAAGGACTCCCTGCTGAAATGCCCAGCTTAGTTTGGCATGAATTTGCAAACTAGTCCAAACTGGTTTATAGCGTCTTCTTACTACTCCATTAGTTAAAACCAAAGCTATGTTCTTCAATAGCAACAATCTGTTGTTCCAAGTAAGGTTCTACTTTAGGCTACGTTTACACAACAATCATGAGCCTGTGACGCGCTCCCGATATTGTTCACCTTGCTACTTTGAATATACGCTATGAAATAGCATGTAAGTGTGGCTTAGTAACAGATATAATTCCTGCATGCCGCTGGCCAACCACTACATCCACTTACATAAACAGGAACTAGTTAGTTGTCTGCTGTCGTGTTGCAGTGCGGACGTTTGCGATTTCAGGAGTCATGGCTTTGAAGTACAGTCCCTCCCCTGCCATCCAAAGCTAGTATGCTAACCGATTAGCATTTTGGCAGATCACCTACTGCTCCTTTAATGCGTCCTGTAGTTAACTGAAATGGCTATAAACTAAACTAAGATAAAGTCATTGTATGCAGAGCCATGGACCTTAATCTATAACTTAAATGTAATTATGGAAATTCAGTTCATCATAACTGAAAGCTACGTTGTGTTTGCTGGCCTCTCGCATCATGCACCTGTCAGTCAGTCAGTCAGTCAGTCAGTCAGCATGTCACCTTAAAGGGTTAAACAAAAACTGCACAACACAACTACAATTACAGAAAAAGTTTGCGCTGTTATAATTCACCTAAATACGTTTTGGTGCGATTATAACCCACTATCAAAAAAACACTAATGTCGTAATGCCGTTGCGGGATGAATTTTGGTGTGGCGCCCCGCCATGGAAGAATTAATGTAGCAAAAACTATCGCTGTATTAAATATGTCAGCAGGTAAGAATTTGATGCAGTCAAAACCTTGTTAGTGAAACGTACCTTGAAAGTGACGATTTGTCATATCTATGTATCATTTATCATATGTGTAAGATGAGACACCGATTTGGTTGTAATTCAAAGTAAATCCAAACTTTGCTGATGAATCGTTGAGCAGCATCCACATCATGTGGATCCATGTACTATGCAACAGTTTGCACTTGGAAGAGTTTAGATGCAAAAGCCGCTAAACACCACTTATGCAAAAAATGAGCTAATGACATTGAGTGAATGCTTTAGGCACGTAGTACATGTTCAACAAATATTTTAGCTTGAAATCATCTAAATTGCAACGTCAGCACATTCAGAAATAACAGTTTGTTAGCAAAAGCCTCTAAACGCCACTTGCTTTTGATAGCAAAAGCCACTATGTCCTGAGAACCAATCAGAAGGCACGAATCAAATCATATGTTTTCAATGAAACGACTTGCTGATACACTGGCTTATTTATGAGGCGATGGATTTATTCCGCTTACGATTAAGATTTTAAAAGATGGTGTTTGATGAATTGGATGAGGTTGTCCGACTATCAGTGAATGGCAAATGAAAACGTCCCTTACCTCAAAACTCATATGTATTATAAGAAAAGACCCACTATACAGTCAGAAGTGTAACATTCAATTCAAATCATGTATATTTCTATAGCACTTTTATAATGTAGATTGTGTCAAAGCAGCTTAACATAAAAGTTTTAATAAATTAAAACTACATCAGTTCAGTTTTCATAGTTGAAGTTCAGTTTAGTTCAGTTCAGTGTGGTTAAATTTTCACTGCTGAAAGTCTAAACACTGAAGTCTTACACCAAGCATGCATTCATTATGTTTTTATTGCGCAGTGGCGCTACTTTAAATGAGTCCGATTTACTATACAATAAACAGCAACTTCATTTCACGAAAGACGAAGTTAAGATGCCATACTTTTATCCCACATGGACGCTATGAGAATAAACAAGAGACGAAAAAGAGGCCTTGAGTATGGTGAGAATGAATGAACGACAGTTTCTTAAAGTGTCTGAGACATCCCCTTTTTGCACAGCAGGCCTACCTTGTGTTTTATTTGCTAATGTAAGCTATTTATATTTACAAAAAAAAAAAAGAAATCTGATGGATTTAGAGGGTTTTGCATCTAAACTCTTCACTTGCCTTTAATCTACGCTCCACTAAACATGTACTACCCACATTTACAAATGTATGCAATTACAATCTCAAAAAACAACATGGTTGGGCAAACGAACAGATAATCAACTAATAATCATTTTTAAATCATTTCAGAGCAAATCACACATGACCTTTGCTGGTCACTAACACTTTAGGAGAGCACATAAATGTAACTGCAACAAGGAGACATCGAGGACAAAAACCTGGCAGGAATCAAAGGTTTAATGCTGAAATAACCAGCTAATTGCAGGCTTTTTCATAGCATCTTGTTCTTAGTCCATTAGCAGAGCCACATTTTTCACTAACAACCAACTGGTTGACCAAGACTGGTTAAACAAACTAAGAAACCGTGTTTCTTTAACAAGTTTGTGAATAAGACCCCATTTACAATGCAGGTTAAACGTGACCCAATTTTGAATTTTTTGCTCATATAAGATCGGATCTGTTCTATAACTGTGTAAACATTAAAAAAAAAAAACGCATGCATTCGGATATTCAGAGATCGGTTTTTATGCCTCCATCATATGTGAAAATAAACCAGATATGTGACAATGCGACTATCATGTAAACAGGCAGATCGGATTTATTGAGGCATTTCGTTTTGTATGTCATTAAACTTGCGACATTGTGGTACTTCTCCGTGGTTTAATGACATAGAAAGAAGAGCATGTGTGGAGACGCCGACGCGGTAAACAACAACAACAGAGGAAACACGAAGGAGGAAAATGATCAGTCGATACAATTTGCTCCCACCAGAACTGAGATCTCTCTCGTACCCACAAATTCCTCTGAATGGTGAAGGACACCATATATAAACCATAGGCGCAAGCTGCAATGTTGGTCCTTTCCCTCCTTCTCCAACTCTGCCTCAAAATCATTTTAAAGTTGGGCAATCTTCGCAAATATCGCAGAGCTAAAAGCAAGACAATTTCTTCCATCGTGGCTAGTGTGGCGCAGATGCTAGAACCCGCCTTTGCGAATACGCGACACCGTAAATTCTATGGCAAGTGTAAACACATGAATCAGATATGGGTCACAATTAAAAGAACGTGTAAATGGACAGACAAGAAAAATCCAGATATAGGCAACAAATCAGAATTGGGCATCAAGACCTGATAGTGTAAACGGGGCCTAATAGACCTTACTTAATGGACTGGTTATACACCCCTCAGAGCCATCACTTTAATTGGACTAATTTATTCACATTAATTATGCTATCTACCATAGTTAAGGTTCACAGTGAGGATGCCATCAAAGGCAAATACAAAAAGCTGTTTTGAAATCAGCCAACAGTCATCTTTTAAATCTATCCACAGCAATCCAATCACACATTACCTCTGCTGCTCATTTTGCTTGGCCTAACGCTGTGTAGCATAACTGTAAAAAGGAGATACCTACTTCCAAGAATAATGGACCATCATTCATTTAGGCTCATCTATTGCTGCTAACGGCTAGCATGGGCATACCGACAGAGAATGTTATGGGTTTTGAGTTACAAGATCGATACATACCACCACCATGAGTGCAGGAATCCAGGAGGCTCTCCTAATGTGATATTCTTCTCCCATCGGATCTAAAAAGGTGCAGAGACAGAGGGAGAAGAGGTCAAGTATGAATAGAGCAGGTTCTGAACAAATTAACTACGGGTAAAAGGCTCCATTTCAACAGCAAAGCAATGAACAACAAATTGAGCCTATAGTTCAGCAGACCAATGGAAAAGTCATTCAAAACTATGGATGTACACTACACTTTCATTGCAGTGTTGTCCAAATGATTAGCTGAAGAGGAGGTATAATTAGGTCACAATAGAGCTGAAGATCTTTGCCGGGTTACGGTAGGTTCAGGCTTAATTTCTATCATTTTAGATGGTGTCGGGCCTGGCTCGGGTTGGTGCAGTAAATTAATAGTTATGTGATGCATTTCGATTAGCACGAAAAAAGTAATCAAATTGTTTGTTACAACAATAAAATATACAATGAAGGAGATGTCAAAAAGAGTGTTTTTTGACTGCGGTCAGGCCAGCTGCCAGTTCAAAAAGAACAGTCATTCTAGCCGCCAAGGTATTTCGGCAGTCGCTCATACACTGCGTATTACGATAGAGTGCTAAACAGCATTGTACAGCAAGCTGACAAAGAAGATGACGAAGTCACTCGCTACATTGAAACCGCTGTCATGGAATATGAAATGGATGTTCTTGGCTGGTGGAACATGAACAAACAATTTTACCCAAAACTTGCAAAATTAGCCAGATCAGAACTATGCATCTCGGCTAGCAGCAGCAGCAGTAAAAGTGTCCAGATCTGCTGGACGCACCATCAGTGAGCGCAGGACTGCGCTAAAGCCATCTACAGTGGATTCAATAATGTTTCTCCACAAAAACACATAGCCTAATCCTGGCTAGTAAGCGATATTCAAATTAAAACTAAAGAATAATTAAACCATAAAATCATAATGTAGACAAAGTATATAGGTTAATATTGGCATTATTCTTTTATTATTCAGCTTATCCGTAGCCTTAAGGCCAGACAGTGAAAAGAAGTGATGAAACAAATCTCGCAGAGCCTTTATCTAAATTTCGTTATTGCCAAATACCAGTCATAATTTAGAATTTATTTTAATTTAATTTGCTAGGAAATACCTATTTTTATTTGTGTGTTGGCTAGTTTAAAGGCTAAATGTGTGTACCTAAGCCTATTTAGAGGGCTGAGTTGTAATGATATTACAGAGGACTTATTTTAATTCTTTGTTCCAACTTCCAAGTGGCCTATAGCCTACGTTTGTTATGAATAAATCATGTTAAAATGCGTATAAATGACTCATTCTTGAAAAAAGGCAAAAGAAGTGTGTGCATGTGCACATTTAAATAATGTTGTGCTATAACCGAGTTCGGCCTTTTAAAAAGCCGTCAATCAAAATGTACTTGTCAGGCTTGGGCCCTATCTGCCTAACTTTTACAGCTCTAGGCCACATTGGTTGACCTGCATATGTATTAGCATTATATAGACTTCTCAATAGATTTCATTGCTTAAATAGAACTTAATGCAACCATGTCACCTGTGTTAATGTGTATGAATTTAAAATTGTTGTTTCATATCGTAACACACATGGTGACCAAAGTCTCCAATATGGAACCAAACCTTTTAGTTGTTAGTAATGGTGATTTTATACACCAAATCAAGACATCATTAAAAATTACATCTCCTCAACCTAGCACTGTACTTTTCCAAGCAGACGTATTGATTTTAGAACATGCCCTGTCCATAACTATTCACCCAAAAAAGCTGATGTGCATTATTGGAGTCTCTCTGATGTAAGGGACTGATTAACAATGTTTTAAAGTGGGTATGTGCATGTGTGTGTGTGTGTTTTTGCTGATCAGTGCAGTGTTGTGTAGCCCCTTGAGGTCCAAGGTGTAAGTAGAGGGAGTTTCAGCAGTAATTGTGAGGTGGCAAAGGGAACAAGCAGGTGACTGCTCCCTCATTAAGCTTCAGTGCACAGGTGCGTCCTCCTGCTGTGTACCTGCCTGGGCCGAAAGACCTCCCCTGTGGTGTACGAGTGTGCCTGCGCTAAGGTCTTGAGATCTGATGAGCGTCGGCCTAATTGAATAGCAACGGCGGTAATGATGACTGTCGACGGCACGCATGTTGACGCCCTATCGCCGTTACAAAAACACTGAAACATTGGTAAACACAGCCATCTGTTGACTTGTTGACTGTTTAATATTTGCTTACAGAACAACGTCTAATTTTGCAGGCTTATATATATCCCTAGTTGGAGAATTTACCCTTCTGAAAGTAGGCTACTAGGTTGGATTGATATAGATAATGATACCCATCCAATATAATAGACGACTAGAATTATTTTAAAACCTTAACAACAGGAAACTGAAAAAAAATTTCTTCCTACCACATGCAATTAGTGTAGAACGAAACGTTTATGACCAGCAGCATGCATTTAAAAGAGTTCAAACAAATAGACATAATCAATTGTTTATCAGTTTTAATATGTCAACCTTATTTTTAATTATCGAGCCAATGGCAATAACATAAAAAATAAACATTTATTGTACGTCACTAGTCTAAAGCCCCTTCCATACCTCCAGCTTCATGCAGCAATAAAGCAGCACAATCCCATTCATTTCAATAGAAAATTGGCAATTTTCGGCAACAAGAGCAACACTGACCATTAGGAATGCACAATACTGGAATTCAGTACCAAGCGATACTAAAGTTTTAAAAACGTCCATTTCCCGCTAACATTTGAGTGATATTGAGCACATTCTTAAACAGTGCTGATTTGCCGTTGTGTTCACATGCTCAACAGAAATGACTGTGATTGGCCTTAAAGGTCATTAGTTCACCAAACTCACCACTGTTTATGGAGTGCAAACACAGATACAGGGACAGTGGAGCATTTGAAAGCCACGATTCATCAGCGGATCGTTCGTAGCTTATAGACAAACCAGCTGATCAACATGACTTTGAAACGCTCCAGTGTCCCTGTGTCAGTGTTACACTCAGTAAACGGCAGCAAGTTTGGTGAACTGATGACCTTCCATGCAATCACGGTCATTACTGTTGAGCATGTGAACACAACGGCAAATCAGCGCTGTTTAAGAACGTGCGCTCAAATGTTAGTGGGAAATGAAAATGAAATGAAAAAAAGTTTTTAAAACTTTAGTATCAAATGGTACTGAATTCCAGTATCGTGACAACCCTACAGACCATTTGCGATAGGATGATGACATGTCAAGAGACAAAAAATATACAAAATGCACTTTCACAAGTGAATACAATCTGGAGTGAAGCCAGTAAAGTGTAGGTCATTCAGCCATTACTTCTGAACCAGCTGGTAGTGCTTGATAAGCCTGAATTAGTTCAGTCAACCCAGACAAGCAAACATTTATATATGGATACTATAGCTGTCACTGTCCTTGTTGAAATTAAACACATGTACCAATTCTTCTCAAATGTTAGTTTTTAACGGGGTGGCATGGTGGCTCAGTGGTTAGCATTGTCACCTCACAGCAAGAAGGTCGCTGGATCGACTCCCAGCTGGGCCAGTTGACACTTAAGTGTGGAGTCTGCATGTTCTCCCCTTGTTCGTGTGGGATTCCTCTGGGTGCTTCAGTTTCCCCCACAGTCCAAAGACATGTGCTATAAGTGAATTGGATAAACTAAATTGTCCATAGTGTGTAAGTGCATGTGTAAATGCGAGAGTGTATAAGTGATTCCAAAAACTGGAAGCTTGCAGCTGGAAGGGCATCCGCTGCATAAAACATATGTCAGACTAGTTGGCGGTTCATTCCACTGTGGTGACCCCTGATAAATAAGGAACTAAGCCGAAAGAAAATTACTGAAAATTTGATTTTAGCTGCAAGAAAACCAAGAAATTTATACATAATGGAGACAACTCCACTCACAAACAAATCTTGGCAACCAGTAGTGGGAATGCTCACTTCTGACCAAACCGAGAGCCACAAGCTACAAGCAGCGATAAAGACACTGTTGGTATGAATAGGGCATAAATTTTCGACAATTCAATTGGCAAACATTATAGGGCTGTGCAATTAATCAATATTTAATTTTGACTTCAATTTTGGCCTTCAACAATTATTGAAAAAGAAAAAAGATTATTATGTCTTAGCCGTCCGATTTCCAGCAGTCCGAATTCATTCCTGTAACAAAGCTCTTTTGCAGCATGGAACAAGCTTCATTTACTGAAGTGATTTAGATTCATTCATGTTTTTAAAAGCCAGAAACCTAGTGCTGTTGTGTGCATGCACTCCACCACACAGACGACCAGAACACATACATGAAAAGACATGTGTAGCAGAAAATCGGAACCATGCAGCTCTTAACGCGACAGCAGGTCATATTCCACCAGCCAAACGTGCTTATTGAATTATCATTAATCAAATAACAAAGCTAAGCTTGAATCAAGTATTTTTGTAACTTTAACAAGAAACTAATCAAATTCAATTCTCGCAATTAAAAACACGAGTTTATTTCATTTGTATATTTTAATTCTACTGTATTATAGTTTATTCATCATCTAAATTAATAAGTAAAATAACCTCTGTTCATTTATTGAAAGCCACATCAGTTGTCCGTGTACTGAAATGTGTAATTTTAGTATTGAACTCCAGCTAAACTTTTAAAGACAGTGCTTTTTAAATATATGTATACACTACAGTACCACCCTACACTGGCTAAAATTCATAAACAACACATCACCTGTCTGACCAAAGTCCCAGGAGGATCTCACAAGCACAAGGCCAGACTTTGGCATAGTGCTTCATCTTTGTCAAACTTTGTCTGAGCAAAACATTAATAAAAAAAAATAATAATAAAAAAACCTGGAAGCTTTTGGAAGTGCACTGTGAGCGCTTAATGATACCCACACAAACAAACACAGCAGGTACCAGAGGACCACGGCAAATGCAGTAAGATAGATGATAACATTTGAAAAGTTCACAATCTGTAAAGGTCCTGAAGCACTGAGGAAGAGTTACACCATCTTGTTAATGTCTTATAATGTCAAACAATTAACATTTACGCATCTTTAGAACTACGAAAACAGATCATGGCAAAAACAGCTCTCAAATTCATTCAGACCATCAACTGAGACGCTTAATAGACTTCATGAGGTATGACTGACAGATTTTGGGACACATATTCTCCTCAACATTTTTAAATCAAGATATACAGTAATTTGCTTTTTAAGTGTGATGTCACGCAAAGCGACTTCCGGGTCACATGGCTTTATCAAACTGTATGGGCAGACTCATCAAATGGTAATAATAATCATTAACAAATCGATGTAATACTTTCGAAAATCACCATCACAATATATATTATATGGCATATATATGGCATAGCCACTTGAGTTCTGAATAAGCCAAATAGGCTTAACCCACCTGTTTACTGTAGTAAAACTACTTTCTATATTCAAATGCATTTTTTGTTTACACATATTAAATAAATAAACTGCCACTTTTCTAATTAAATGACATAAATATAAATATATATATTTTAAACTAACAGGCTAACTCACATATTTCACGATCTGAATGATAATAATAAATAATAATAATTTTTTTTATACTAGACAACCCTAGATGTTTCTATCTCTGTGAGTGACTCAGTGACAATTAAAACGAGTACACGTCTTTATTCAAATAAAGGAAAGAAAGTCTGTACAACTTCATACCACAAAGACGACAAACTCACAAATGTCTTTGATCAGCCCTGAAAGAGTGCATTACAGCAGATCAGGAGATCGAGAGTGTATTAGAAACCATTTGCACCCGTTTCCACAGAGGCCAACTTTAAATCAGACTTTTAATGTGCAGTCGGGGTTTAAGAGCAGTTCTGAACAGAAGTGGTGGCATCACCTCCACTCCAGACCTGTAGTGTGCTCAAGCTCCATATGATGTTCATATACTGAGAGCAGCACTGACACCATCTACAGCAGAAGCTCCACCACCCTGTAAAAAGCGTTATGACAATTCACTTTACTACGCTGGTAGTAGCTGAATGTTAATACTCTGATTGCGCCCCCTCAGTGGCGCCAAAGCCGATTTCTAGAATCATCAGTGGAATGTTGCGTAATTCTACAGCAATGACACTTTTCTTTATTAAAGGGATAGTTTGTCCAAAACTGAAAATTCAACATTTACAAACTTAATAGTTTCTTTCTTCTGTTGAACGCAATGCATTTTGAAGAATGTTGAAAACTAGTGCCACTGACTTCCACTTTTTTTTTCGCCCTACCTTTTCAGTGGGTTCAGGTTTCCAACATTCTTCAAAATATCTTCTTTTTGGTTCAACAGTAAAAAATTTACTTTTAAATGTTTATATGAAAACCTGTACATTTTCATTTGTTGGATGATATATCCCTTAAAAGGTTGTTTTTTTTTACTTGCTTTCATATTGGATAAACATTGGTTTAAAACTTAAATGCTGACTGACACTAAAGTCCTGTTTAAAATTGGATAACACTTTATTTTGATGGTCCATTTGAGTATTAGTAGACTGTCTGCTTAATATCTGCTCATATGCTCCTTTAATAGACATTTAACCGACTATAAGAAACTTTGCAAGTAAGTCAACTTACACTAACCCTAACCCCAAACAGTCTGCTTAAAATCTCTTAAGATGTAACTTCAATTCAACAAACAGACAATCAAAATAAAGTGTGACCTAAATTTGGTATTAGTAATGTGTTTTGTTTAACGATGGAAGAAGATGACGGGGACATTTTTTGTTTTTTATACAGTATATATATTATGTACATTTTACGCCCTGCCCACATGGTTACAGATTTAAGCCAATTGGCAAAAGTGGAATATTGTTTCGAGTTCGACCTTTAGTCCACAATGCCGGTGTCCACAAACTTTTTGAATGACGAATTACAGAGTGAGAAAATCATGCGGAGCCATGTAGATAGGCAAAATGCCACTTTATGAAAGACGGAAAAGATTCCTGCACGTAACAACAACAACGATAGCGGATTACAGAGCAGTGTTTGTGCTGCAGACGTTGCTAAGTTTATTAGCACTACTACCACAAAAACATGGTGATGCTGTATCAACTAGATGACTTATGTAATATCAGTTACATGCATCTGATATACGTGGATTCACTATCATCTTCTTGTCTGTACTTTAAGAAAAAATTTATGTGCATGCCTACTGTGATTTTACGTTATTCTTTGGCTCCTTAGGTGTGGCAAACATATTACATGTTGTTTTATTGCCCAGATTTCCCGTTACTATGTGGACGCAGACATTCCTTGATACAATAGGCGTATGGATTCAAAACTTTTTGAATTACACGATCAAAAAACACAATCGTTGCTGTGTCGACCTTAGTCTTTTTTGTGCTTTGTAGATACTTTCCTGATATCTTTTAGCTGAAGGTTTATAGGCAAATGTATATATCTGATCTTGCAATATATATAATACTGCTAATTAAGCTCACACAACTTACAACTTTCTCACTTACTTCTTAACAAAAACAGACTACAGAAAACAATACAAATAGCCGCAGCTTTCATTAGTGATTGGTCGTTCTTAGGGCTGGGCGATTATTCAAAAAGTAATCAAAATCGACATTTGGAACCTATAATCGATCAAATTTTTCCAGGTCAATTTTTTCAATACTTCCCCTACCGTGTGAGGAGTCACGTGAACCTGCTCTGTTTACACATCTGCATCAAGCGCAGTGTATGGTCTAGCGCTGCCTTCACATGTTCGCATACTCCTCGCCGTGACTGATGCCGATGTTGTCCCCTCAAAAAATTTAACTACTCGTCCTTCGTTTATTCGTTTATTAATCATAATCGAGTTAAAATGTTCAACTATTCGAGATTTTAATTTTAGGCCAAACTGCCAAGCCTCATTCTTGAATGAGTCGTTCATTTTTAACAAATCTTTTGTATTACTCTCTCAGGGAGTCATTTATTCATTTGCGCATGCACACATTGGTGCAGGTGAAGAAGATTAGTTCCTGTTGAGTCTTCTATCAGGTTTCAGTCGTTCGTTTATCACTTGAAAGACAGAAGCCAGTCATATGCATTTAGGGCAGGGAAAAGATCTGTCCGTTCATCTGTTGAGTCCTCGATTTGAGTGCTTCGTTCATCACGTGAAATAACAGAAGCCAAACATATGCATTTGAAGCTGGAAAAAGGTTTGATCCGTTAATTTCTCGAGTCCTCGGGTTTGAGTCATCTCTCTTTAAATGCTGTCACGTGACGAACGAACGACTCAAAAAACAGAAGACTCTAAAGGTGAACTAATCATGGCTCTTTCCGGCTCAGACTGTGTACTTTGGTTAAGCTTATACGGGACTCTCAGTGTGACGTGAAAGAACCACTTAAATTTGAAGAGCTGTCAGAAGAGGTGAGGTGAACTAATCATAGAAAAAAAGAGCAGGTAAACAATAAATTATAATTTTCTCTTTCTTATAGCTTTCGAGATATGACTTGTTTGTAGTGTGATCAATGTTTGGGCTAGTTGTAGATGAGTTAGGAAGCATCTCGTAACATTTTATTAATATTTTGGCAAATTGAACAAAAATGAACGAATTGAACAAAATGAACGACATGAACGAAATGAAGGACGTGAACGATACGAAGGACATAAACGAAATGAACGACATGAACAACATAACCGAAATGACACAAAATGACTCAACTCGAAATGACTCAACATGACTGAAATTACTCGAAATGACTAAAAAAAATGATTATTTATTTTAATGAAAGAGGCTCAAAGGTCAGAGTCAGTAAAATGATCTGAACTTCCCATCACTAGCTTTCATTTTTGCTCTGGTAGCCCGAAAACTATACAGAACACTGAGGGTTTGTGTCCAGGAATATTAAAGAAATAGTTCAAATAAAAAATGATAACTCTGCCATCTTTTACTTACCCCTGACTTGGTGCAAAGCAGTTTGAAATTTTGTGTTGAACACAAAAGAACTTTTGAAAAATGTTGGACACCTGTAACCATTGACATCCATACTATTTGCTTTTCCTACCATGAAAGTCAATGGTTACAGGTTTCCAACATGCTGCAAAACATCTTCTTTTCTGTTCAACAAAACAAAAAGTTTAAAACTGCTTTGAAACAAACAAAAAACTGCTATGGAACAAGTCAAGGGTGAGTAAATGTTTTCTCAGTTGTGGGCAAACTATCCCTTTAAGGGGACAATTGAATTTTTTTTGCCTCTAAAACAAATGTATGATTTAAGAAATCAGAGAAACATTTAAACCCCAGTTACCAGGCTTAACGGGAACACCTTTTCCAACAACATCTGGAAGTTCAAGGTTAAAATATTTCCGACACTATTGATTGGACCCCTGCCTCTGAACAAGGCCTTAAACTCATTCACATACATTTAAAGAACTATATAACAACGCAATTGTTTTCTTTATAAAGATGATACCACTCACCTCTGATAGGAAGGTCTGTGCTGATTTCTGTGCGCCAACATGAAGCAAGTACTCATACACATATAAAGCTAACCTGCAAGACAAGAGGGGGAAAAATGCATTGTAAATCTCAGTGGAATAGAGGGCTCTTTCTTCTTTAAATCATCAATTTTGGGTTGGTCCCAAAATTCAAGAGAGAAAAATGCAGTTCCACTGGCTCTCCCATTCTAGGTGGACATGCAAACACATTACAGCAATTATATCTGGTGCATGTTGAAACCTCGCAGGCGCTTGGGTGCAAAAACATTCTTGGAAATGAAGACTAGTGAAAATTGGGTGAAGGCAAGGAGTTTTCATGTCAGCAGCTAATGTCTGGCCAGGTTTGTGAAGTCAGTATCAATGCAAGGGGAATTTCATTTAAAAACACTCTTAACCAAACGTTTTTGGGTTCGATTTATTTTAATTTTGCACTTATTTTATTAAAAGTGACAGTAAAGAAGCTAACATTTTTACAGATTTCGCCTTTTAAAAAAATGTTCATCTTATACATCAATAACACTTTTTATAAAAAAAGATCAAGCAGTACCATTTTCAACTTTGATCATGATAATAAATGTTATTTAAATATAATCAGAAATCAGATTTCATATTAGATTTCTGGAGGACTGTGACTGAAGTGATCATGGTGAAATTCCTAAAATATCCTAATTTCTTATACTATTGTTTACCCTTTCACATGTATGATCACACTGGTGTGATCATACGCCTCAGGGACCAACCAAGGCTGATCACACCGGTGTGATTTAAACATTCAGAGCACACGTCATCAACTGCTAAAAGGCACAGAAAGAGGTGTGCAGCGCTAGTCATAATTCTCAAATACCCATGCTTTCAAACAAATAACAATTATTTTAGGTTTTAGACATTCACATACACATAACTACAAGCAAAACAAAACATTTAAGGTTTGTAAAATACACGGATGTCCATGGAGAAGGCAATAATAAATATTTTTTAATATGGCTGGCAATGTGCTTTGTTCACGTAAACTACACATTGTTTATTTTACAAGAATATTTTCTCTAATACTCTCCTAGATTAACAATTTTGGAAGAAAATTCTGAATAAATCATAAATGACATAAATCCAGCAGCTTGGATTTCCCCTGCAGTTGTTGCTAAAAGAGATACAGCTGCGATCCGACTTTAATATGAAATTCTAATAATATTTATTAAATTACGCATTCATTTTACTATTTTATAAGAGTACACCCCTACCTCAACTCTAAACCCAGCCCTTGCGGTAATGTAAAAATATTTTTAGTTGTACATTGTCACAAAAATTATGCTATATTGCCATGAGTATAGTCAGCTGTATCCCATCTAGACTTCTTCCTCGCAGTGAAGTCTAAATGTGATACAACAGAAGATACTCACGTCAGTATAACATAATCTATTAAAATACAGTTTTGTTATATTATGCTATATTGACATGAGTTTCTTCAGCTGTATCCCATCTAAATACAATTAATGCGTAATTTAATAAATAATATAAATACTTCTCTTTTACTTCTCTTCTCTTTTTTTCCTCTTATTATTAAGCTGTTTAAAAGACAAAATATATTTTCTACCACATATTTGAGTATCAGAGTATTTGAAATTTTGCAATACAATTAAAACATTTGTAAATATTTACAGAAAACGGCAAAAAAATAAAAATAAAAATAGGATACTGTATCTACATAGATCATTGGGGCTGGTGGGTCATGTAATAAACTTGATGCATCGCCATTGGAACTTTATAGGGCGATGAATTCTAAGGGGTTAATCACACTGAATGCGCGTTTTGCATTGAGAGGTACCCTTTTTTAACGGTTTACTAACAGTCGCGAGTGTTTTGGGCATTGCTTATGCGCCCTGCGCACATCACGTTTTAACTTCCTGTCGCGCCTCGTTTTTTCTGCGCTCGCAGTTGACAAAAAGTCAACTTTGAGCGGAAAAAGCACATTACGTCAGTCACTTCTTTTTAATTCTCCAATCAATTGAAAGCAGAGGCCGGGGTTCCGTTGAGGTGACAGCCGTGTTTGTGTTGTCAAGACGACTACAGAGACTTTTGAAGATGGAAGGGAGACTAACAGTCGCTGTTTTAAGTTATACGGAGATGTATGACAGCACAAATCTTTAATATCACATTATTATTCAATTTTAAAATTAACAATTTACAATATTTACAAATATTAAAATAACAATATCAACAGCAACACTCGTGTACAATACCCAGCTGATTCAGTCGTTGCCTAGAGACATAAAAAGTACACCACACTGCTTTTTTTCGTGTCAACAAAAAAGGCTGTGTGGTGCGCCTCGGCTTTTGGAACATAAAAGCATATTTGGTGTGATCAAGCCACTATGTAACCATCACAAATAAACTCATGCAGGAGGGTCAGCTGGAATATTTAAGACCCACGTGTGAAAGGGTTAAAAGAAATGTCAATTATGAACCACAAAATATGTATAAATATAAAAAATAACCAATTTAAAAAGTATGATTGTAGAAAGTTTTCAGTTTTTAAATTTATAATTATATTACATTCAAACAAATTGTACTTTGTTTCACCATCAAAGCAATTAAGTAACCATTTTTGAGAGCTGTGCTATCTTGTTTTAAATGACATATCATTTGTTTTATACATTGATAAATAGAGTTAAATCAATTAAATACGTCCAACTAATTCAATGTTGAAAACTGACAGCCCTAATAAAAAATGCCTTATCGGTCCACATAATACACTCCCCATTACTATTTAAAGAGCATCTCCAGAAGAACAGCTTCAAGGATCAAATACCAAGGACTCATTTTCCCCTCAAACGTCTGAATTATTTCTTGGTGTTTCATCAGACGTACTCATTTTAAGAGCTACCCTCAAGTATATATACAGCTGTCAACAAAGTTACACTTTTGTGCAATGCGGGGGAAAGATTTCAGAGTTTTGCTTCTAATTTAATTCATATTTAACATTTAGAAAAATGGAAATTCATCATCATCTACAAAAGTGGCCTAATACGAGTCACACTTCATTTTTCTCAAAAAACGCAGAGCATCTGCTTGTGTTCTTCCCGGAAACGTGACAGAAACACACAATGCCATGATAGTTCACAAACATCCATGTACATGATGATTCAAACTACTTGTTTAAAATGAGCCAAAACAACACAATTCTTGAGATTTCTACAGGACAACTTATTTGTTTATGCTCAATCCACTTCAATTTGTGAAAGCAAAACTAAACCACTTCATGTCAGGACAACATGATGGAACTGTTCTGGTGCAACAGTTTTAAGAGTGTAACTGACGCCTAAAAAGAGGAATTTACATTACATGTTTTTAATATTCTAGATTAGGGAAGCCAATCCTGTTTCTGTAAAGGTTTGGCTTCGACACGCTTCTAAACTTTTATTAATTTCTGCTGTTGAACACAAAATAGGATACTGTGTTGAGAAAAAATAACCATGCTGCTTGTTTAAAATATTTATTTAAAATGAGTTCTTAAGAGTTTGCTGGGGAGCAATCCACAATCCACAATTCAATCAACTTAAATTTGTAAAATTATTAAGTTAACTTAATTGATTTGTCTTGGGATAACATTAAGGAATTGTGTAGAAATTATTTTTTTTGTGTAGTTTTTTACAGTGTAAAACAGAAAACATTATGGAAATCAATGGCCTTTTTTTCCAACATTCTTCAGAGTATCTTCCTTTGTGTTCAACAGAAAAAAGAAAATCAGACAGGTTTTTGGAACAAGTGGAGGATGAGTAAATAAAGATTTTTAAGGTGTGCGATCCCTGCTACATCATATCCCATGTTAATTTAAGTAAATCATGTAAGAATGTGCCTTAAACTACAATTACACTACTAAATAAATTTCTCCACGTCTTGGCTGTCCATCCTCACCTCAGAGTGTGTTTATACAAAAAGTTTCTCTTTTTTAGTTTAAAGCGCTGTTAATTACAAAAACAATTACATCAAAATCTTAATATCTACTGCGTTTTGAGGATAAAAAATTGCAGACAGGGCCTACTCACACTATGCTATCCAAACTGTGCCCAGGCCCATTTCCCGAATCATTTGAGAAGTGTGAGTGCTCTGAATCAAGCTCAGCTGAGCTTTGGCGTGGTACACTTGTGTGCGAGTGCAAAACATATCCGAAACGGAAAACGAGACGTGACTTTAAGGGACTGTTTGATACGGATTTATTAAAAATTTTTACTGTTCAATGAATGCATACTGTCGTAGTTTATTAAAGACGGAAACTCCTCACTGCATGACAGCTGCACCTTCAGCAAACCTCCTGATTCCTGCAGCACGAGGACTTTATAATTGTTTATGAGCATCAAAAGTGGCTGATTATTGATGAACTGTTCCCACTGAATTAAGTGAGAAGAGCCGAACGCTCTCTCTTTGCTTAAGTTTCATTCACTACGATGAAGCTGATTAGTGATAACGGAGCTCTCTGGAATGATTGTGTAAATTGTTAAAAATGCATTGTTGCCTTGGTAATGCAAGCATAATGTAAACAGAAGTAATTAAAACTCTGAAAGAGCTCAATTATTAAGATGTGTTTGTTATTTAAGATGTGCACATAATTATTATCTGCATAATTGGTTGAGACTGTTGAGTCGAGATGTAAATTAGAGAAAGGGGAAATTTAGGCTTTAACACCATTTTTTTTATAATTTTATTTTAACATACAATTTTCAAAATGCCCTACTTTTATTTAATTAATGAGAAAACATACAAATCTACAGTCATATGTGTAAAGCCTGTTGTACTGTCAGGTGTTTCATTCATTTCCTTTCCGGCTTAGTCCCTTTATTAATTCGAGGTCCCCACAGTGGAATGAACCACCAAATTATCCAGCACACGTTTTATGCAGCGGATGCCCTTCCAGAACCCATCTCTGGGAAACATCCACACACACTCGTTTACACCCACACACTACGGACAAATTAGCCTACCTAATTCACCTGTACCGCATGTCTTTGGACTGTGAGAGAAACCGGAGCACCCGGAGGAAACACACGCAAACGCAGGGAG